TGTTCACATGAGATAATCCACATAAAATGCTTAGAGCATAAAATGCATCAGCGCAGAAGTGAGATCGATGAGGGTCACCAGAGTGTGAGACTGGAGGAAGGGTGAGGTTGCTACGGGGGCGGGGCGTGGGGTTTGAACCCGGCAGGTTTGTAAGCAGAGAGGTGAGATGAGAGTAAGGGAATAATTGGGGGCACACGGAAGATGCGAGCCTTGGACTTGCAAGGTGGGTGAGGGGCAGACCTACCTGAGGGCTGAGGGACTATATATCTTTTATCCTAAGTCAGTTGTCCATATTTTGCTCCATTTGCTTTATCATGTATTACACACACTCACACGTGTAAAAAAATTTTTTGAGCCATTTAAGAATAGGTTGGAGCTGTGCCTGCCTGGCAAGCACAAGGTTGTGAGTTTGATCCCTGTACTGGAAAAAAAGGTTGGAGACATTGTAATTTTTTCCCCATGACTATAATTCTTCTTCTTCCTCTTCTTCCTCTTCTCCTCTTTCTCCTTCCTCTTCCTCTTCCTCTCCTCCAGATCCCTGTACTGGAAAAAAAGGTTGGAGACATTGTAATTTTTTCCCCATGACTATATTCTTCTTCTTCCTCTTCTTCCTCTTCTCCTCTTTCTCCTTCCTCTTCCTCTTCCTCTCCTCCTCCTCCTTCCTGGGGATTGAGCCCAGGGCCTTCTCACTAAACTGCATCTCCAGCCCTTTTTAAAAATTTTAAATTTTGAGTCAGGATTTCACTAATTTGCTGAGTATCCAAGGCTGGACTCAAACCTGGACTCCTTCTGACTCAGCCTCCCAGAGTGCTGGGATTGCAGGTGTGAGGCACCAACCCCAGCTATTTTTTTTCCCTTTAAATTCTTGAATATTTTCTGAAAATAGGGAGCCAAGCATGGTAGCACAAGCTTGTAATCTCAGTACTTAGGAGGCTGAGATAGGAGGATTGCCACAAGTTCAAGGTCAGCCTGGGTATTTTGACAACTTTTGAGCTTTCAAGTGAGACCCTGCCTCAAAAAACCAAAACCAACCAACCAAACAAACAATAAGGGTATCAAATTTAACATCAAAACAGTATCATTGGGGAGCCAGGGATTTAGCTCAGTGGTGCCACTGCCTGCCTTGCAAGCACAAAGACCTGAGTTCGATCCCCGGTACCAAAAAAACCAAAAACCAAAAACCAAAACAGTATCATTGGGGTCAGGAATGTAGCTCAGGAGCATAGAGATTCCTGGTACCAAAACAATCTTCTTCTTCCTCCCTCCTCCTCCTCCTCCTCCTCTTCCCCTTCTCCTTCGCCTTCTCCTTCTCCTTCTCCTTCTCCTTCTTCTTCTTCTTCTTTCTTCTTCCTCAGTACCTTGAGCTTATGAGGCAGGTAGTGGAACCACTGAGCTAAATCCCTGGCCCATTATTTGTTTTTGTTTGTTTGTTTGTTTGTTTGTTTTTTGGTACCAGCGATTGAACTCAGGACCTTGCACTTGTGAGGCAGGCGCAGTGCCACTGAGCTGAATCCCCAGCCCTCTCCATATTATCTTTGTTGGTGATTTTTTTTTTTCCAGGTCCAGAATCCTGCCAGGATCGTAAGTAGCATCTAATGGTTATGGCTCTTTGGTCCCGTTTAATTTGGAGCTCCTCTGTCTTTCTTGACCACGATGTTGTTGAGGAATACAGGTTACCTACGTTGTAAAACGTTCCTCAGTGTGGCTACATCTGATCTGTGCTGATGGTTACATACCTGTTATGCATGTTTGCAAGGAATGCCATGTAAGTGGCATTATCCCCTTCTCTGTGGCATGTCAGAAGACAGTTTGTCCCAATAATGGAGATTTTAGCTTTGATTTCTTGGCTGAAAATAACTTTTCAAAAATGTTACTAACAAGTAGTTTATGGAGAGATATTTTAAGGCCATGCGGATATTCTGTTCATCATAGTTCAATCCACTGGTTTTAGCATCCATTGAACTCCTAATTCCATCATTTTTTCTGTTAGTTGGCATTCTACTGTCAGAAAAGTCTTTTCTCCTCCATCTGTTTGATAATAATCATGTGGATGAGTATTTTATTCACTGAGTTGTACTTTGTTACCATCATATTTATTTTGACTTTTCAGAGCTATATCCTTGTATTCCCAGCAATTCTTTTTAGATACAGGGTCTGGATAAGCTTCTAAGTTGCCCAGTCTGGGTTAGAACTTGTGA